GACTGGGTGACTTTGAGCCAATCACCAGGAGATTGTGAGTTCTAGTCTTGCCTTAGGCAGGAAAGCCAGCTGAGTGACTTTGAGTCAATCACTAGGAGACTGAGAGTTCTAGTCCCACCTTAGCCATGAAAGCCAGCTGGGTGACTTTAGGCCGATCACTAGGAGACTGTGAGTTCTAGTTCTGTCTTATCCATGAAAGACAGCTTGAGTCTTAGCCCAACTCACATCAGAGAGTTATCTTTGTGGGGAAAACAGGAGGCAGAAGGAATATTAGGTATGTTCACTTCCTTATTTATAAAAATAGCAATGGTATATGAGGCAGCTGCCAAGCGGCTGAATTTCAATCACGTGACCATGGGAGGGGTTGCTGCTGCAATGGATGTCGTAAGGGTGAAAAATGGTCACCAGTCACTTTTTTCAGCACCCTTGGTGACTTCGCATGGTTATTAAATGTTTGAATGTTTGTAAGTCAAGGACTACCTGTAATTATTTCTTTTGTTTATAATGTCGGGCCGTATTCCTGATTTTGTACGTGGCTCCTGAGTAACAGACAGAAAACTTGGTTTTCTTTTTTCTTTTTGTTTTATTTACAGGGATGCCTTAAACTTACATCCTGGGGATCTCGAAGATCAAGAATCGACTTTCCCTTTTACATCCAGTGGTGAGCTTCTTCTTGGACATTAAACGAGGGAACGTTTGTGTAATACGTAATCCCACCTATCCAGGGGTGTGGCTGCTGGGGGTTCGCAGGGGTTCGGGAGAGCCCCTAGCTAAGACTCAGTGCAGTTCGGAGAACCCCCAAATCCCACCTCTCCCATCCCAGGAGTCCCCACACGACCTGTTTGGGATGCAGATAAGTGCAGAGCATGTGCAGAGGCTCAGGGAGGGTGAAAAATGGCCTCCCGGAAGTTCAGAAAGGCCGGAAATGGGCCCGTTTCCAGCTTCCAGAGAGCCTCCGGAGCCCGGGGAGGCCATTTCCATCCTTTTAGAGGGTCATTGAAGAACTTAGAGGTTTATCTTCCTCAGAGTCTTCTCAGTGCCAGGAGTGCTATTCAGGTGATCCTGAGGCCTCAGACAAAACCTCCAAGTGTTTCACAGACCCTCTAAAACAGGGGTGTCCAACCTTGGCAACTTTAAGACTTGTGGACTTCAACTCTGGGAGTTGAAGTCCACAAGTCTTAAAGTTGCCAAGGTTGGACACCCCTGCTCTAAAAGGATGCAAATGGCCACCTGTCTGCAAGGAATATAAATCTTTCCATTCCTCACCAACCAGTCAGAGCTGAAGAAGCTTCTTGTATGAGAAGCGAAACGTCTTCAAAGAAAAACCAGAAAGTCCAGTTGCCTCTTGAAAAAGCCCCTTTGGGACCACCGTGACCTGGAGGACTGAGAATCTCCAGAGACTTCATAACCAGTTGTTTAGCGACTGTTCAAAGTTATAACTCCCCAGAGTTATTTACAACTCGTTTTTGAAGTTCTGGCGGATGCATCCTTCCACCTTACCCCAGGGCTCACATAATCCCACAGCGAATGTTAGACGGTTGCCAAACACCCAAAATACAATTATGATCACAATTTTTAGCATTTTTTGATGGCTTCTGGTGTTTATCCCAAAGGTGTTTTTTTTTTTTTTCAGGAGGCAACTGGACTTCCTTGTATTTTTGTTTGAAGACTGTGCTGGTTAGGCAGCATATAGTTAGTTTGGGAAGGAGAGCTGTCCCCTTAAGGGAATGCTTCATGGGAAATGTAGTTAATACCTCTTGGGAGATGTCGTTCATGTCACGTGGTCACATCTGTAATCCTGATTGGTCACTGAATTGGCCTCTGCTTGAGTTGCGGGAAGTTTTGGTCATTCTTACCTGGACCCCAGCATCGTGCTGGAGTCTTCCCTTGCTTTATCGTTATGGGATGAACATAACTATCTTTTCACACTGTGAAGATGACAATGCAAAGATTGGACATTAGATGAATCTCAGCATAACTGTGAGTTATACCTTGAGGATGCCTGATATAATCCAATAAAGAAACTTTGTATGGAAGCCTTTGTAGTGTTTAGCTGCCTGTCTATATTCAGCCAGAAAATTAGAGACTTGATAAAGACGTTTCACTTCTCATCCAAGAAGCTTCTTCTTCAGCTCTGACTGGATTAGTGGGAAATGGAAGGATCCAGTCAGAGCTGAAGAAGCTTCTTGGATGAGAAGTGGAATGTCTTCAAAAAACAAACAAACAGGAAAGCCCAGTTACCTCCTGAAAAAAGCACCTTTGGGACAACCATGACCTGGATGATTAAGAATCTCCGTAGACATTGTCTTATGGAAGTATAACATCAGCAAGAGAAATGATAGTTCACATTTGTAAGAGAAAAAAAAGCAGAAAAAAACAACCCCTTGGGGTCTCTTGAAACACTCTCTTTTAACAACCATTATCTTTGCTCCCTGTAGTGTCCCAACTCTCCACTCGCTATACCTCTTCAAAGAAACCCTCCTTTGAGGACCGCTACAAAGATAGGTCTCCTGTACACTCCTTGCTAACTGCTCCTTTGGATGACCTTAAGGCAGCTCCTGCAACATCCTTGGAACGACGGTCCAGTCTGAAGAAGAACTGCTCCCCCCCAGAAGCCACAACTACGACCACCAGTAGAAGTAAGCAGAAAGTAATCACAGAGGATCTTTATAGACACAGTCAGCTCTTCCTAGCAAAGCAAAGCCTAAGGAAAAATATCCAGAAGCCGCAGTGGGCTCAGAATGGGGCAGACTGTGTGGTTTTGTGCAAGTCTAGTTTTGCACATGCGTTTACCTCTCTTGCGAGAGGTGCCAATTCGCTTCCAGGGCTAATTCAAGATGCTGGGTTGCCACTGTTTTGACCCGGCTCCCAAACACGACAAGCCCTTTGTAGTTAACAAAGCATTCCCTTTGTTAGGCGCACCAGCAGCTGCTCTCTCGCAACACGCTAACGAAATCTCTAAATCCTGTGGAAAGTGATGTTGGCTCCCTTTCCCACTAAAATGGCCGAACACACCAGGAGTGTCTATTTCTCTCTCCCCACACTTGCAAAGGAAGTCCTGGATATGCACTCACTTTATTCCAGCAGCAGATACACACACACAAACACACACACACACACATGCTTGGAAGATGCTGCAGATTCCAAGAGGAATTCTGGTAATTTCCAGACAGAAGTGCAGGCTATCAGGGGCTGACCAGCAGGGAGATGAATAGTTGTCTGCCACATCTATTCATGTCCGCCCCCTGCCCCCCGCCGTCTTATATCCCCAGAGCTAGAGTGGGACTTTGCTAGCAGCAGTGGCTCTTCCTTCCCAAGGATCAGCCCATAGATTTCCACTGCTCTCCTCTCCTCTGCCTTCTGTACATTCCTATGTCAGGCACTGTACCCAGCTGTTCCTCCTCTTCCTCATCAGCCACCTCCAGACCTGGGGGCTGTTGACTCTCCATCTGAGGGCTGATGGACACCCCAGGCTCCGCCTCTCTCTCTCTCTCTCTCTCTCTCTCTCTTTTTCTGCCAGCTCCATTCCTTCTTCCCGCTCAGAGCTCTTAGGTTGCCTGGATGCTGTCCCTGATTCCCACACCTCCTCCTCCTCCTCCTCCTCTGATTCAGCTGCCGGAGAGGCCGGCAGCTGACAGGACCGTTATTTTGAAGGACTGTCTATTCCCAATTGTATCTACCTGACCCACCAGATTAGGGAGGTGGGAATGTGATGGGTCCCCAAGAAGTTCCATCTAGCGCAGAGTTCCCCAACTTTTTTGGGTTAGCGGTCCGAAGCGGAGGGGAGGGGGGGAAAAGAGGGGATGATTTTGTGGGAGAAGCAGGTGCATGTGCACAAGTACGCGCGACGTTCTCAGCAATGCTCGCGCGAATGGGACCATGATCACCCACAACAACGCGGCCCACAGGTTGGCGACCCCTAATCTAGGGGAACCAAGAAGAAGGACTTCTCTGTGGTAGCTCCCTCCCTGTGAAACACCAACTCTGTGGAAATAAGATTGGCCCTTACTGTGACACTCTTTCAAGACTCTGAATATACAGTTTTTGTCAACAGGCCTGGGGAGCCCAGAGTGATATGGAGCCCATCAAGTGGATTGATCTGATTGTTGTGTCAGGCGTATAGGGAATTCTGGGGAGTTGAAGTCCACAAGTCTTAAAACCGCCAAATTTGAAAAAAAAAAAAAAGGGCTGGTTTATTCCAAGGTGTAATTATCATGCGTAAGAATTCATAGAGAGAGGAATGAAGAAGCAATTTTTAGTGCTGTAAATATGATTTTTCCCCCCATCAATGGAAACATCACATAGTGTGTTTTTTTTTCTTTTCGAACAGGTGTTTCTTTCAGCACCTCTACTTGTAAGTATATTTGTATTTCCCCCCCCCCCAAAATTTCCTGTTGACTGATAAAGCTGTTTCTGACCCAGTCTTCACTACGGAAAAATGGGCATTTTTTTTTCTTTCCCGATGCACAGAAATACGTAATGAGAAAATAAACATTGTGTAGTCCAGGTTGGTTCAACGCAACAAGCCAAACAAAACACAGACAGTCCTTGACTTACAACTACAATTGAGCCCACAATTTCTGTTGCTAAGCGAGACGACTGTTAAGTGAGTTTTGCCCCATTTTATGACCTTTCTTGCCACAGCTGTTAAATGAATCACTGCAATTGTTAAATTCATAACATGGTCAGAAATGGTGTAGGGTCTCCCGCTTGGGGGGGGGGGTTGGACTAGATGACCTATAAGGTCTCTTCCAACTCTGATTATCTGTTATCTGTTTTTTGGTTGTTAAGTGAATCTGCCTTTCCCATTGACTCTGCTTGTCAGAGGTCGCAAAAAGGGATGACGTGACCCCAGGGACACTGCAACCGTCATAAATACAAGGCAGCTGCCAAGCACCTGAGTTTGGATCACATGACCGCAGAGAGGCTGTAACGGTCATAAGTGTGAAAAACGGTCATGTCACTTTTTTCAGTGTCGTCATAACTTCGAATAGTCACTGTACAAATGGTTGTAAATCAAGGATTACTTGTCATCTATTTTGTCTTGCCACAAAGTGTAAACTCATTCTTAAATTCATCCCTCTTCTCCAATGACAGGGGTCCTTTAATGTGATTATCTTTTTATTTTTCCTCCACAAATAAAACATTTCAGGGATTTGGGCTCAATTATCCCCGAAAGCTAAGCGGATATCTTTATTCTGTTACTAAAGATTAGGGGTTAAAAGCTGAAAGGGACGGGAAACCATCCGGTGGATTGATGGCTATACTCCACTTTTCACATTCATTTCGCTCTGGAAATTTCTCCTCTTGATGAGGCCTCCTAGCCCTTTTGATGGATCTGGGAATCATCAAGGTAGAGGCAGATATATCTCTCTGTGGTCACACTGAGAATATATCTGCTGAACAAAACTCCATATTGGCGACAGGAAGGGCATCCGGCCAGTAAACACTCTGCTAGCTCCCTTCAGTTGGCCAGACTCCACCCTGCAAGGAATTACGGGGTCGTTAAAAGAGGACAGGATAGGAGTACAGAATAGAATAGGAATTCTTTATTGACCAAGCGTGGAATTTGCCTCCAGTGCATAAACTCTCAGTGTACATACAAACAACAAAGTGATAGGTCATAGATCATAAATCATAGTTACAATCACGAATCATAAGATACAAACAACAAGTGATAAATTATAAGATACCAATAGGAGAAGATAGAAAAGATGAGAAAAGACGGGAAATGAGAAGATGAGAAAATGAGAAGGATAACAGCAATGCAGTCCTACTACATGGGTAAATATCTTTAGGCCCAAGGCAGCACTGTAGAAATTAGGTGTTCAGTAGAATTATAGCTTTGGGGGTAGGGGGACTGTCTAGTTGTTTTGCCATGCAATTTATTTATTTTAACGTGTCTGTCATTAGAGACTTGGTCCCTGGATATTTTCACATGCCCATTGGCTCTTATTTTGTGCAGATGTGATCCTTTGTGGCCCTCCAGTGTTCCACATGGGTTCAAATTGAAAATATTTCATGAACCTTCATGTAAACCTAGTTGTTTTGCCTATGTTCTTTGGTTAAAAAAAAACCCAATGCAAATTTGAGGCCAAAGTACACATGATAAGGGAGCTCCAGCTACACCATTGATACAGATTCTGTCTATACTGTATACTGCACGAGTCAAAAAGAGGCCCTCACATCCCGGACATAAACTGTTTCAACTCCTTCCCTCAAAACGACGCTATAGAGCACTGCACACCAGAACAACTAGACACAAGGACATTTTTTTCCCGAATGCCATCACTCTGCTAAACAAATAATTCCCTCAACACTGTCCAACTATTTACTAAGTCTGCACTACTATTACTATTAATCTTCTCATCCCTCCTTATCACCCATCCCCTCCCACTTGTGACTTGTTAGGTATAACATTGATACCAAATATAGTTTGGGTGAATAAATATATAAAACTTAGATATCATGGTTTAAGTGC